AATTCTTTCCCTGATTTCTTTTTGGGTGGATTCATTATAGTTGTATAGGAGCCCTAGTGATTTGGGTGTGCTGATTTTCTACCATGATTAATAAGAATTTACTATTTCATGGAGTTTCAATTTATTTTTGAATGCTGTGTTTTAATTAACTCGAATAACATCATAAAATCATGTATATATTGCATTTCTATTAATTTATATTTTACTTGATCTTTATATTTATGATTTTATACTTTAAATATATTTAAATGGATTAAATTATAGGCCCACCAATATTTGCTTTTCAATAAATAATAAAAGAATGGCTTACTAATTTTGTTCTGATATTGTCATTTCAAAAAAAGACATGAGCTCATTAATTATATACATTTCCATCTTACTAAATTTTGCCAAATTGTTCTCTAAGGTATTATACTCTCTTCAGTAGTATATAAAACTTTCTATCACTTATCCCAGCCAACATTTTGCATTAGTGAATACTTACATCTCTGCAGTCTGACATAAAATGACACCTACTGGTTTTTTCTTTCTTTTCTTTCTTTCTTTTTTTTTTTTTTTGCAGAACTGGGGATTGAACTCAGGCCCTTGTGCTTGCCAGGGAAGCGCTTATTCTACTGAGCCATTTCCCCGGCCCTTGGTTGTTTAATTTATATTCACTTGAATAATAATGAAACGATGCATCTTTTCATTTGTTTATTGGCATTTTTGCATTTTTCTTGTACTATATATATATATATATATATATATATATATATATATATATATACTTCTCCTAGTCTCCTACTCTTCAGCTTTGTTAATAGTACATGTCATAAAGTCTTAACTATTAAAAAGTGAATTTGTAAATCTTTTTTTGGCTTGTCCTTTTTTTAATTTAAGAACTCCTTCCTGAACTCACAGTCATTAAGTTGTTCACTTATATTCATTTCTCTGGAATTTAATATTTGCTCTTTCATAAGTGAGTCTCTGACTCAGGTATGAAGTAGGGATCCAATCTTATTTGTTCCAGCATGTTAAATGTTACATTTCACTACAGTTCCTCCCCTTCCACCAAGTACTGTGCCTGCTCTATCCTGCATCAAATTTCCATGCATGCACAAGTCTGTTTCTGACCTGGTGCATGCATTAATATCATTTTTTGCCCTTAAAACTAGTTCCTCATATCTTAGCTGTGGCTTTCTAAGAAGATTTAAGACTGTTAACACAGGAACTCTCCCCTACACACAAGCCTTAATCTTTTTCTTTTCTAAAATTGACCTACTGTAACCCTTAACTTTCATGCAGAGAAATGACATGGTCTGATTAATCTTTTTTAAAAGGACCACACAGGTTGTTTTGCACAGAATAATACTTAATGATGTCAGGGACAGAGGAAAGACTTGTCAGAGCTATGTCCCTAAGTAGATGAAAAGGGCAGGACCTTTAATGGAAACAGGAGGGAGCAGCTCTGGAGAGTAACACGCAGATGCGGCGGATGTCTGGGAAACTTCTACTGATTGCTTTGAAAAGCATTTGGTGGAGATGCTAAAGAAAATGGAGAAGGTAGAGAATCATTTTCTGGAACAGGAGAACGCTTGGAGCCTGGAAGAGAGGTCCTGCGTTAATTTAGTGAAACCAGTCTCTGTGGCTGTGTATTTTCGCCCAGCCACACACACCTGCAGATGGCTGGTTGTAAATAGCATCTGGTTTCACTAATTGAGTGAGTCGAGATGGTAAAGGAGCTGGAAGTACAGATGCTCCTCAACTTAAAATGAGGTTCTGCTCCAATAAACTCATGACAGATTGGGGTATCACGAAAAAGGCGTACATCTGTAATCCTAGCACTCTGGGAGGCCCAGGTAGGATGGCCATAAATTCAAGCCCAGCCTGGGCAACTTAGCAACTTAGTGAGATGTTGTTTCAAATTTTTGAAAAAAATTAAAAAGGCAAGGGGGTATATCTGAGGATGCAGATTCTGGGTTTATTTCCTTACACGGCCAAGCAAATGTTTTTCTACCAAATGCATATTGTTTTTACACTAGTCAAAATTATAATGGTGAGTAAGGAATCTGGACTGGGTAAAGAAAGGAGGGATGACATGGGATGAGGAGCTGCGAGAAGTGGAGGAACCAGTGTGTTGGAAGGATTGCTGGGGTCAGAGCACCAGAGGGAGAGGTAGAAAAATGTGAAGTGGGGCAGGGAGCATGAAGCGTGAAATTGTGATCATGAAAGGGTGCACTTCTTGGGAATTCGAGGTCAACGTTGTGAGCAGTGACCTACACGGCACTCAGCTTTGTGGTGACAGTCTGGTTATCTCAAAATTTTTAGTTTTCTTTTGGACAAGAGTCCTATACTTTCATTTCACCCCAAACCCTACAAATTATGTAACCAGAGCTGGTTACCAACACAGGAGTGTGTGACTGAGGTAGGTGGAGACAAAATCTTCAAGGAATGGAGTCGGGGGCTGGGGATCCTTGTGAGAATTGAAATCACTAAGGAGTTAAGCACGGATTAATATTGGAGATAGTAACGGTGAGTTAGGAGCTAAAGCATGGAGAGATGAGTGGTGATAAACCAGGGTCAGAAGATGTCAGCAGGAGGCGGGGCAGGGGAAATGATCTAGGGACATGGGACCCAAAGCTGAGGATTCAGAGAAGCACGGACAATTTCTGAGAGCAGGGACACTGACACCAGGAAGAGGGGGCAGTGAGGGGAAGAACCAGCCTTGTAGGGAGGTGCAGGCTCCTGTGAGTGTGTGTGCGGGCAAGGGCGGGGGTATAAGGTGGGGGAGGGGCTAAAGGATAGCTTGAAGCTACAGGCTGGTTTGGTGATGGTGGAACTTAAGTTCCAGGGAGCCCAGCTGTGGGCTTCAGATGCGACTACGGTGTCACTGGATGAATATAATGCCCAACTGAGGTTTTACAGAATCTTGTGGGATTCAAAGGCAAGAGAGAAAGAGGACCACTCAGGCTGGAGCTTCTGGTAATGACTGGCAAAGAAGAAGAAGGGCAAAATGAAATTAGATCAGTGAATTCAAGGAAGAAAGAGTGGAGGAACGATTGCAAGTGCCAGTATAGAGAGGCATCATCAGTGGTGACAGGAGTAGAAGGCCCAGTGAAATATGGTCTTAATGTACATTGAAAAAAATTGTATTCCTTTTTAAAATTTTATAGTGACACATATAAAACAATTATTAGAAAATAAGGCATTAAAATAAGTTTTATGTTTGCCCAATAATACTATAGTCATGTCTCTGTCTTTCTTGCCATACAAAATATGTTAGCTTGGGTAATCTAAAAATAATAGAAATGTATATCTCACAGTTCTAGGGGCTCAAAAGGCTAAGCTTAAGGCTCCAGCAGGTTCAGTCTCCAGTAAGGGTTCATTCTCTGCCTCCAAGATAGCATTGTGGCCTCTGAAGGGGACAAATGCTATGTCTTCACATGACACAGTAGACCAAAGGGCCAGACAAATCTTAGGAGACTTTCTTTTAATTTAAAATAAGGCCATTAATCTCATTCACGAGTGCAGAATCATTATAATTTAATCACTTTCCAAGAAACCCTTCTTCTTAATACTTACACAAGGGGATTAAGTTTCACCCTGACTCTCAGAGGGACATAAAAATTCAAACCATAGAATCACATAATTTAGATACTAATCTCATGGTTCTGTAATCTCTTACAATGCCTTGTGGTAAACACTCCAAAGTAAATCCATAAGATACTCCAAGTTTAAGAAGTAATTTTCTTATGAAGCATTCCTGTAATACAGCTTATTATTTCATTTTAAATACTTTGAAAAAAAGAAGACCATAGTTGAGCCATGTCTGTCTTTACAGCTTAGAGTAATGGCTTTTCAGCTGACACAGGACCTCCATTTGTTTAAGTCTTTTATGTTCCTCTAGTGAGGATTTCCTTAGGCTTATAATGCAATAATGTAATTAAAATAAATACAATTATTTAAGAATTTAACATAGATTATATGATAGTTATGTTGAAAACTATACAACCAACCAATATATAGCTTTTGGGTGGAACCCAATTTGAATAATAATTCTTTTTTAAAAATTCAAACTATGGGATAATTTAATTTAGTACATATGGACAAAGGCTCACACAAAACATTTTGTTGCTTGCCAGGTAATTTGGGGATACATATTGTCTTAATTGTGCTCCAGGAAACCCCATAAGAAGCATTGGGATTTGAAGTGAATTGCCAAAGCCCCTAGTCAGTTGCTAATGAAATCTCCTGGAGAGTGAGACCCAGATTTTAAAGCTTCCTTACCAAATTGTCCTGAGGATTAGTCCTTCTGTTTTTTTGGCATAGGTGCAAGGCTGTGGTAAAAACAACAGAGTTTGAACCTCACATCAATGGCTTTGATTTTTACTCCACATTCTGATATTGTTGTGAAATCAGAATACATCAGGACTTGATGGAGACATTCAATACATACATGTTTCTTCCAGAAAACTATTGTTAAGTTGATAATGTGCCTTAGGGTTAATTGATGATATCTTGAAATTGAAGAAATATGAAATTTATTTTATCTCTTACCTTGAAAATTGCTAGACTAGGTTTGTTCTCATACTATGATTAGATGATTTAGTCCAGGGCTCCTGTTCCAATATGGAGCAAGACACAATCTATCATTTGTTTGGACAAAATTAGCAGCATCCTCTTTTAGCTATACTATCACTAATGTAAGCAAGAGAAAGCCACGTGCCAAACAGTGAAGACATGGCTCAGGGGTGTTTTGCATTCTGTAACAATTTATGGTGAAGTGAAAGAACCAGGAAGCACACATATCAAGACCAGGGGATTGCTCTCCGTATCCTCTTTAAATTCCAGACTGCTGTCTCCTCAATAAATCTCACCATTTCAAAGCCCTATTTCTTTCAAATTCCCATGGACAAGAGGGCCTAAAACTGATCAGTTTCTTTTGGGATCCAACATTGATGAAGGTATATAATCTTCATATATACAAGAACATTATGATTCACAAAGTAATCTTTCCACAGGTTTAACAAGTGTGTCTACACATATAGAATCTTCAGAGACAAACATGGGTATTTTGACATACAGGTAAGACATTATCTTGACATTATCAGATAGGGATATTCTATCTGCAATTTAACCCTAAAAACGTGATTTAAAGGGGTTAGAAGGGCTCCTCCTGCAGCAGTACAAAGACCAGGAGGGGAGAATCTGAGCTCAGCTCTTCTGAAAGGGAAGAACCACATAGAATAAGGAGCCAGATTGATGGTTATCTTTGTTGTTTTGTTTTATTTTCTTTTGCTTTGTTGAGAGAACTAAAAGGGTATCAGAGCTGGGTTCAACATTTGAATGACCTGGCTGCTATTTTAGAGTGGGAGGCACATAACTCTACCTCCTGTTCTCCTCAACTGTACTAATCTAGAGTCCATTTAAACCAATCTCAAATTAGAAAACTAAGCCAGGTGTCTGGTGCACACCTACAATCCCAGCTGCTCAGGAGGCTGAGGCAGGAGCTTTGCAAGTTCCAACTGAGGCCTGTTCTCAAAACAAAGAAAAGGTATAAAAAGTTGAGGGTGTGAGTTAGTGTCCCCCTTCTCACTCCTGATTAGTGGCTGTATCTGTATTGTAGCCAGCAAGTTTTGTCTGAGGTACAATTATTGCTAATTGAAAACTGAGTAGCGGGAGAAGGAAAGGAAAGGAAGGGGAGTAATGATGCAGAATGGGTGCAGGAAGGGAAGTTGGGAGACGCATGAGTGCTCAGAAGTTTATGTGTACCCATAGTTAGAAGGGCATTTCAGATGACTGCAGGCATTTGAGAGTTATTTAACTTTTCTGTTTTGCCGAGAGAGGAACAGAGAGTCTTTTTGCTTTCTTGAATTTAGTTAGTTAGCTTAAGAAAGCACATAAAGCTTTAGATGCTAACAGAATCTTGACATTATCTTTCCAAAACCACTTATATACCAGGTTAAGCAAAGTTTTTAACTACAGTACTTCTTTGAATCTTCAATATGCTTGTGCTTGTTGTGAATATATGAAAGAGAATGCATTATTCAAGGATCCCCAGACAATTTCAATATATAATTTTTCTTTTGCTATAAAGGACATTCTTCAGACAATTGGCAAAATTTGAAAAAAAATTAAATTTATGTAATACTTGCAATTAGTACTGGACTGGATTAAATTGCTGCTCTTAGTCATTGGACTGTTGCCACACAATACCTTTACTTTTAGAGAATACTAAAAGGGCTTAGAGTTAGAGGGATATTCTATCTGCAATTTAACCCTAAAAACGTGATTTAAAAGAATATATAGGGTCAGGGAGGTAGCTTGGCGGTCTAATCACCTGCCTGGCGAGCACAAAGACCTGGGTTTGATCCCCTGTCATGGGGATGCCTTGCCAGCCCTGAGTTCCTGGGCACACTGTGCTGGCCACCAAAACCAGCCATGGTGGCACATGCCTGTAATCCCAGCACTGGGGAGGCTGAGACAGGAGGATTACTATGAGTCTGAGCTGTGTAGCGAGACCTTGTACCAAAAAAATAACTAAATAGATTTTTTTAAAAAAAGAGTGTATATATATTATATATATATAATATGTATAAACACATGCATATATATGTTCGTATATTTAAAAGCAGAGACAAAAAAAATTGCCAAGAATTGAACTCATTCCCACACTGCAGATTGATATGAGGACCCTTTGACCAGAAGTATTTAAGGTGTAGGTGAAGAACACATATAGGAATTTTGTTACTTCATAGTTTTATGACTTTTCTATGTCTGACATTATTTCAGAATAAAATGTCTTCTAAAATGTAACTTACTTTACTTCCTATATTTCGTCTTCATACTTTTCTACTGGATGGTTAAGACCAAGGTAAAGCAGGACCTGTGCAACAAGAATTGTAGCTTTTTGGTCTGAGAAGGTCAGTGAAATGCCCTCAGGATTTATTCTGAGATCCTGTACCTCAGATTGTAGAACCTCTGTCAGTGTCAGCCATGTGGATGAGTCACGGCCAATGCTTGGCCAATGTGCTCTCTGTGAAAGCCTGAGAGAGTGTCTTCTCCCCATGTGACTCTCCTTAGGCACACCCTACATCATCGATCACTTTCCTCTTTGGCCCCATAATCTTCTTGATCAGAAAATTTGGGACACTACCGAGGTACATGACGTTACAGTACAAGTTCTCATATGTCCTGAGTCTTAATTGACCTTAGAAGGTGAGGGCCAAAATGTTGGCTTTCCTTTTAGCCCTCCTTTTTCTCTAATTTTGGTCTGCAAACTTAGGTTGTTAACCATCCAGAAGACAAGCTTATTGTTATTATCAAACGATTTAGGCTATCAAGCTTAACCTCACTATCTCACTGCATTTCAAACATCTTAGGCATAATAAGGAACAGGTATTTTTCATCAGGTATTGACATGTTGAACTTTAAGTCCCTACATAATATGATTTAAAAAATTAAAAATTAGATTATATTTTAAAAATAGGATAAAGAATTCTATGCTTCTCATGTTTGCACATAAGTCCAAAAATCTCACCATATACAACCTTGAAGCAGGACAGTCCCACAATATTTCTTTTCCTGTCTCTTGCTTTCCTTCACCACCCCCTTCTTCTTGAACATCCACCTACCCGAGAGACATCTTAGCAGTAGCTGGCATGTCATGACAAGCAGCCCATATTCAGAATGCCACAATGACAGGCACTCACAACATGAAACCACTATTACAAATTACCATCTGCAGTGCAGTAGCTTAGTTCACAGATATCAGTATATATAGTTAGTCAGGGTGTGAATCTTTCCAATTAACTCCTAGATTAAAGAATCTTCTGAATTAAAATGTAACTTACTTTAAAACATTTCTTTCTTTACTTGTATATGCCAGGAGATTCTGGATAATTCCTCAGTCTGCTCTTTTGTCTCTTGTCTGAACAGAGGGGACTGTGCAACAGTTCTAACTCAGACACAAACGAACATTTAACTAGCGGTGTTCGGCTAAAGCGACTGCGTAGAAGGACCAACTCCCGCGTCGGCTGACACCGTCGTTGCAGACACTGCCTGGGCTGCGCGTTAAGTGGCTCTGATGGGCGCCTCATGGCCGGTGATCACGGAAGCCAAACTCTGAAGAGCAGACGGAACAAATTCTTCTTGTTTTAAATTTATGTCTGGAAAATTATATCAGAAGGCAGCACTCTTTGAACTCTAGCTGGCAAAGAGCAAGCGACTATTTGGAGCTTAACTAAGCCTGTTGAGGTGTCTAATTTCAGTCTGTTTGTTGTTAGTTCTGAGTGAGGATCTCGCTCTGTAGCCCAGGCTGGCCTCGAACTCTCGGCCGTCCTCCTGCCTCAGCCTCTCCAGTGCTGGGATCACAGGTGTGCACCACCACACCTAGCTCCTACTTTCAATTTAAATTGGAACTTTTTTTGGCCACATTTTTCCCTCATGGAGATTCTGAATTCATTGGGCATGTACACCAGGTATCTTGCATTTCACATCAGAAATTAACCTCCGCTCAACAGCAAAGCCTGGGAACATGGCAGGGAATCTGACAGAAGCTCTCAGAGGTCTTTAAGGCGTATCCAGGACAAAAAAAAATTGCCAAGAATTGAACTCATTCCCACACTGCAGATTGATATGAGGACCCTTTGACCAGAAGTCCTCTCTACTAATATAATACAAGTCAGAGTTTGACCTAAAAAATAAAGAATATACGGCCAGGGTCATGAACAAGATCTGATTTGAAAATAAATAATGACAAAAGGCTTAGGGATGTAGCTCCGTGTGAAGGCCCAGGGTAGTTCCCACAAAATGAAGTCCTGTAGAACAAAACAACTGTTTCTGTCAGTGGCAGCTGGCATGTGCTCTTCTGAGTGAGCTGCTAGCCTCTTGCTTTCAACTTGTCAAACTCAGAAGCAGCTTTGAAAACTACTGTTTCAAGAAGGGTCATATTTTATATGCAATTGCATGATGCTGAGTGACACTTTTCCTTTTCTTTTTGCAGACTTCAGAAGGTGTTCGCAAAATGATCTTTCCAACCCTGGAGGAATTGGTCTCCAAGTTTGAAAAACCAGATCAAGGACTGGTGATGCATCTTTCAAAAGCAATAAAGAGACGGAACCTCAGCCAGCGACAGAAAAGATCCACTGATAATATTTATGGTAAAACATTCAGAAAGAACCTCCATCCCAGTTTTACCAGTGGCCTTATTTTCAGAATCAAGGCAAATAGGTGTCCTTTTCTATGATGCTGCTTCTGAAAAGAGTCATACTGGGACAATTTTCCATTCTGTGGCGAAATGGTATTGCAGCCCCCAGGGAAGCCGAGGCGTAGAGCTGTCTCTGTGTGGAGTACCATAGAAGCAAAGCGGTTCCTAGGTATAGAGATGACTTCACGTTCATGCTCTGACCTTGGGCAAATCCCTCAAGTTGGGGAATAAGTGAATGCACCGGCAGAGTTTTAAATGAGAAAACCACTTCCACTCTCTTCTGTTACAGTTCACTCAATATTTGCAAAGCATTCCTTTTGTAAAGCGATAGGTGAAAACTTATTTCAGACACAACCCTAAAGGCATGAAACTATAGTGTACAGTGAGGGAGGTTCAGGACATTTGAGGGCAGGCGATCTATGCCAAGAATTATCCATTCGTATCACAGGCAGCTACTTCGGATTAGCCTTTCCCTTGTAATCTGCTCTCAGAAAGGAAGCTAGCATGTGTCAGTGGAAATGCAGTGTGAATTGAACTTGGACCTCCAGAGACACTTTGGTTTAATCCTTCTCTTCCATGGTGAGAAACGTGGTTCCACTCCCAGGGAAAATGCCACGGCTGTTGCTGATGGGCAGGTGATGGTGGTCAGAGTGGGTGCATCAGAGGAAGGACGCAGGACAGGGAGTTCTTGGGGAGCTTCAGCTGCTTCGCATCCACTCTAGAGCGAAGTCCTTCTTTGAGCTGCCCTTCAAGTTCCTCATCACCCCCAATAAAAGGAATGCTTACAATACCTTCCACCCCGCCAGTTTCTCTGTCCCCTCAGTGCCACGCAGGAATGTGTGCTCACTGATGCCAGTCAGCTGGGTTCAACTGCAGCTGTATCCTGTACTCTGGAGCTATTTTGCATTAAAAAGCATAACAAGTGGCAGAGCTTGAAACCCCAGGAAGGTACCTGTGCTGCAGCCCCTGGGCAAATCCAGAGGAGTTGCTGGGGGCGAGCAGGGCAGTGGCAGTGTTTGTCTAAGCAATGATACAACAATCACAAGTCCTGAGAGGAGAGAGGAGAAAGACCCTCTCAGAACCAATCCCAGGAGCTGGGAGAGAGTCTCCCCACACCACCTCTCCACGCGTGGTGGGCCCTGGCAGAGCAAGTCTCCAAATACTCACCTGCAAATGGGCAAGAGCCTCCCATCAACCCGTCTTCCTTCCCATCATCTTCTTAGATCAACGTTTGGTGCTCTTCCCCTGGAGAAAGCACAGGGTTTCTGCCGGTGCTGGACTCTGAGACATGGCTTATAGATGAATCTTCTCCAGGAAAGCCTTTGCCAATGCCACTTCGATGTGGCATCCAGATTGCTGCATGCCCCGCCTTCCTTCCCTGCAGTGGGATTGGTTGCTGTGATTTCTGAGTGTGGGGGCTCATGGCTGATCTCTGCTTTCTCCCACAGAGAACAGTAGTGATTATGTGGATGTCTTGCCTTGAAGATAAGGAGACTGAAAAGCCAGTGAAAGAAGAAATGGGACAAAGCTCTCACTGGTGACACAGTTCTCCTGCACGTGTAGGTCTGGAACACCAAACCGTAGCGGATAGTTGAGACTTTCCTGGTTTGATTAACTGAAGATCTTTTGTCTTCGAGCCACATCCTCACCTCCCAGGCATGCAGCACAAGAAGTTCCAGAGCCCTTCTGCATTTCTTCCTCTTCTTTCCTGAATTGAGACAGCCTGAGCCACTGTCCCGGCATGCTTAAAGGTACCACTGTGACATCATGGTTGACACCCTCTTTCCAACATGTAGAGGGACAGCTTCAGACAGAAGAAAGAGCATTTGGCAATGAGTTCAGAGTGCTAAATTTCAGTCCGATGGCTCTGTGACTTTGGACAAATCACACTCTTTTTTGAAGGCTCCATGACTTCACCTATGAAACAAGTGGTGCGTGCAGCGACACTCACTGCCCTCCTCTCTGCTGAGCCTGGTTGTGTTAGGCAGAGTTGGGGAAGGGAGGAGCGGTGCTCTCCGTGCTGGCCTTGATCTGACCATCGCCTTCAGCCTGAAGCGCTCTCCTTCTGTCTTTATCCTTCTCTCCCATTGTGATCTTCCTGATCCTGCTCTGGACACATTTTTCCTTTGAAAAATGGGAAAAGAGCTTCCCATCATCTCGTCTTCCTCCCCATCACCTTTTTTTAATTGGCATATTATATTTTATTAATACAATGTAGATGGGCCAGTCACCTCCAGAGCACTGATTTGGCTCTGTACACTGGGTATTGTAAAGAAATCCTCCTAAGTATCATTCCAATTCCCACCTAGGTCCTAAATGCCATTAAAGCATAGTTGAATGGCCCTTGTGTCCTCCATTGGGTAGAAATATCTGCTAACCAGAGCAATGGCTCCCTTCATAGGAATTATTTGACTAGGAAACATCCCTGGTATACTCCAGTGTCCAAATTAGCTTTAAGGCCTCAAGAATTTATCTGATAGTTTAAAATGTTAATTAAAACCTGGTAGTTTAACATGTAGAAAGTTCTATGTCCATACTTTTGCCTATCTTTGAACCATAGCAGCTCATTTTATGACCCTGGACTTAATCTCAAAATTGTTAACAAGAGGAACTCTAGATTTCCAAATAACATGAAATGACATTGTGGCTAGATCATTGGAAATTCTTGGGTCACAACAGCTCATGACTACTCCCAAGTAGAGAAGAAGTGAAATTGGGCTCTGTTCAGAGCTCTGAGGAAGGAGACAGCAAGATTGCTTCCAGTCTCCTGCTATCAGAAGCAACACTATGCGGGCAACCTTGCACATGTCTCCTTATTAGGCTGGGAGACTTTCTCTTAAAAGATCTGGGCCATGAAGTCTGTTAATATTTAATGATGTCATCAACCCTCTCAAATATTTTTTGCCTTACACTGTGTTTTTTCTGATTCTTGCTGAAGAAGCCTTTTCCCACTCTGAGACCATGAGAAAATTATCTTACATTTTCATCCATTGATTTTAGGATGTTACCCTCTTTAGGATGTGACTCGAGGTAAGACTTTTCTGTTTTTTACTGGCATATCCCCAGTGTCCAAAGGAGTCCTTCATAGTCATAACATACTAGATGTTCAATAGATGTCTGTTGAATAAGTTGGGAATCCAGGGAAAACTTTTATATTAGAAACAGGTAAAAATCTAACTCTGTATTTCCCCAACTCTATTGACCTAATTTTCATTCTGCTTAACATTTCGCTCCCCATCCCCCCTGAATAGTAGTTTCATGTCTGTACAGTATTATATCACAAGGATCCTACTTCCCTGGCTTCGGCATGTCTTACTATTTTGTCTTAATAACTGAATGTCTAGAAGGTAGAATAAGTGCCCTCTAAAGGTACAAACTGACAATAATTATTGGACATTGATTCCTCCCTATAAATTTTAGGATAAATGTTAGATTGCTCAAAATCTTTTGCTGAAATTTTGCATAAACTCGGCATTAAGGTGTAATTAGGAGACAAGTGGCCTTCTTGCGTTTTCTCTGGCATAAATATGCTATATCTATCTACTAGGACCATTGTTTTTACTCTTAATGGAATTATAAATTTTCTCCATGAAAGTGTTATATGATTTGTTAGATTAATTCAATTTTTTGGTTGTCACAAATGAGATCCTATGTTGTGTTACATTTCTTATACTCTATGGTGGGGGCAAAATATTGACTCTTTCATTAGATCTACTGGTTTACCTGTTGATTCTACTGTGCTTTCTATGTAAAAGGTTCATCAACTATAAGAGTATTTTGTTTTCTTTCAGTACTTACACTTATTTATTTTTAATGCTTATGTCATTGTCAGAGGCCTCCAGCACTCCCTGGAAATCAGTCCTGATAATGAATATTCTTGTGTTATCTTTGGTATTCTAGGGAATGTTAGAAACCTCCATCTAAGCATGATATTTGTTGTAGGTGTTAAATAAGTAGCCTTCATTGAGGCTCTTTTAGAATTTCGTCTCAGCAGTTTTGAAAGTTATTGTGACTTTTTGCATCTATAGAGATATTCATTATTTCTTTTATCTTCACTGTATTATAGAATTGTTACTAAATTAATAATATTGATATCATGGCATCCTTGCATTGCTTAACTTGATAATGTTCTATTACTATGTTTAATAAACTGTTAGATTGAGTTAAGTTCCTATTTCATTTAAAGCTTTTGCCTTAAACCTCATAGATGAAATTGGACTATAATTTACTGAACTCAGTAATATACTGGTTTACTTTAACATACAAGTGTATTAAAGTCTCTCTCTTTTTTCCATTTTCTGCAATAAGTTTGTAAGTTGAGAATTACCTGTTCTTGAAATTTTAAATTATTTTCTTATAAAACTGAAGCTCTGAAGAGAAAGTCTTCTATTGCTACATAAATATCTTTCATACTAATTGGCTTACTAAGTTAGCTTGCTAATTTTCACTTTGTTTCTCTAGGAATTTATCCATATTCTTTAAGTTTTCACAAATATCATATTTTTATTATTTTAATGCTCTTGTTGTGACTATATCTCCTTTACTCTATATTTTTAGTTTAGTTTTTATTAATCAATTTTATTAGTCCTTTCATGACCAGTTTTCCATTTGCTAATCTTTTCTGTTATTGATTTTAGATTGATATTCCTTATTTCACTCATTTTAGGGGCTCATATGAATTGTTTTCAAATAATATGTTTAAAGCAATACATTTAACTCAGAGTACATTAGCTCTATTTACAAATTTTAACAGGATCTGTTGTTCAGGCAGAGGGTCCGCTACCTGTAACTCCTATGACAATACTCACTTCTACTCTAGACATTTTAGTAGTTTGTAGTTATCTTCAATTGTGTTTTTAGTTCTCATTTTATTTATGTATTTTTATTTATTTATTTATTTATTTTTTTGTACTTTCAGGGAAGAGTCTACAAGGTGTTCAGGGTCTCACTACTAGATCGGACTCATAGTGATCTGCCTGTTTACAGCCTCCCAAGAGCTGGGATTATAGGTGCATGCCACCACACCCAGTCTCAATCACTGTCTTAGTGCACCCTGGGGGTGGGGCTGGCACAGCAGGCTAGGGGATTGAACCCCCAGCCCCTGCAGGTGCTTTAATCCACTGAGCTATTTGGCTGGCCCTCTCATTTTAGGACAGCCTTGAAAAGAAATCACATTAAAGTTAGACAGCAAGTTGACTTTGCCTTCAGAGGTTTCCTTCCTTCCTTGAATCTAATATGTGTGAAATACGCCATGAATTATTAAAGCTCATTTCTTCAGCCCCTTGTGCAATGTACTCAAGGTTATAGATGATATAAAATAAATATTTTCATAAATTTACTTATTTTTACTTATCTGAGTCAAAGAAAAATAAATCTCTCCATTTAACCTACTATATAATGGAACTTAAGTTTTCTGAGTCCAATAGTTGTGATGCTAGTTCATCTTTACCATCCTCCTGTTCTTACTGAAATTGGCTTGAGGCTGCATTCTATACATGTATACATTTTTATAATTATTTTCTCATCTTGATCTGCTTCTTTTGTTTTGATGAAGTAGTCCCAGGGCCAACCAGATAGCTCGGTGGACTTAAGCACTTGCTTAGGCAGATGTAGAGACTGGGGTTTGATCCCTGGTGTGCAGCGCTGGCCCTGCCTCCAGAACATACTGAGAGGGAGATTGAGAAGGGGTGTGGTGGGCCCCTGTAATCCCAGCAGCTGGGAGGCTGAAAACAGGAGGACCACTATGAGTCCCATCTGGGCAGTGAGACCCTGTAGACCCTGCACTAAATACATAAAAAAGTATTCCTTTTTCTGTAATGATTTTTGCTTTTATATTTCATAGTATATTAAAAATAACTCCTCTGTCTTCCTTTATAGTTTCCCAGTGTGCAATTTTCTATTTTTAAATTTTTTCATATCTTTTAACTCTGTCCTCTGCAGGCAAAATATTGCTGGATCTAATTTGTTTTCCATACAAGATTTCCTCCTTTTCTTTGGTGAGTTCTGTCCACCTCCATTCATTGTAATTCATCCTACTGGGATTTATTTCTGCCAATTTACTGCCTTCTTGCTATTTATTATACTTTTTTCCTTTTTTCTGGGATCTATTGGGTAGATAAAATTTCTTTGGTCATTTGAAAGCTCTACTAAAGAAATATTTGAATGGCTACTTTAAAAGTCCCGTATTTTTTTTCTCTACAATATTATAAATATATTATTTGGTATAACATAAGATATTTTCATTTTCCTTCTATCATAACTCTTACTTGATTTGGGGATATGATCTAAAATTTTAATTATGATTGTTTTTACCTTTTGAATCCTTTATGATTTAAATTACAGTAAGTTTGTGAGCCAACTAGCTATTCTTGCTTCTTATATATTTCAAAATATGTGGCATTCTCCTGACTTTATTTTTCTTCTCTCTGGAACATTTACTGTAAGAAGATTTTTCAAATACTCAGTATTCCTATTAAAATTGGGCTTTTGGAATTAT